GCCAATCAGCCACTTCACTCACCAAGCAAGGCTTCAGTCTGTATCTCTGTTCAGTGGAGGAAGCATCTTGCTTCTGGGTCTCTTGAACACAAGAGTATTTTTACGTTTTTACAGTATAATTATTGGTCATTCTGAAATTTATTTAACATATTGACAATATATAGTGCAGTGCAGTGTTGATTTAAAGAAAATAATCTTGAATTACACCAAGTGAACTTAAAATTTTATGGGTGAAATGACGGCATGAAGCATGGGGTGATTTCTCTTCCACCCCAACTTCCTTCTCTTCTCCCTTCTCCTCCACTTCTAATTCCCATCATCATCATCATCAACCAGGAGCCTTCTACATACACACCTCAAAGTAAGTGTAATTTACTGCATTTATTTTTAGTTTGTATGTAATTTTCGGTGAGCTGGAACCAATTATCCAAAATCCCATTGAATTAATGGTTTCGGTTAACAAACGACCTTCTGGAACGAATTGTGTTCGTTAAGCCGAGGGACCACTGTACTTGTACCTAAAATGAATTTCAAAGAGGCTGTGATTCTAAAATGCTTTACATAATTCCGTCTTAGATATAAAGCCTGTATCTATAAATATGTGTGAGACTAAGTGTATTTAAAATTCTGCCTAAATAATTAAGTTACTGTCTCCCCCCACCAGCACCCGCCAGATGTTACATGGTGCGAAGAATTCAGCCACTCATCAATTAGAATCGAAACGTGATGTCACCACAGCCATACCTCAATTAGAGGGACAGTTCAAGGTGAGTCCTAGTCAGACTCGGTCATTATGGAGGCATCAATCATTCACAAACTCCTCAACTGAACGAGCTTGATAGTTACTTAGCTCAGGAGATAGAATGGAGCTACTGAGGTCTTTCTCGACATTATGTGACTTATCTCTGAAGCTTAACACCCAACTACCTGTATCTACTGCCTGTGAGCGTCTGTTTAGTCATACTCGATTCTGAGTGACAGCAAAGTAGTAGTAGTCATGCTTGGCTTATTATTTATTATTTAATTAATTTATTACACCCTAGGGGACGACAAGCCTCATCACAAGACCATGCAGTCAGACACTACTGTAATACATTGGTGCTCGTGTCTTGCAGGACATGCTAGGACTTGTGATATGGAGACAATCTTGATATTATTTAAGGACAATGGGAGTTAGCACCCACCAAAGCCTGGGCAACGTACAAGAATAAGTAGGTGGTGACATGTAGGGGTTAGTGACTCATCCAGTAGTAGGAGGTCCCTGACAGTGGGACAGTCAAGGCAATAGTGTTAAAGGGTGTTAGCATTGGGACAATTACAGAGTTTACAGGATGAGAAGTACGGATCATCCCCGGCCTCAGATACTTGACAGATACTCGTTTGTCTGTATTCTAACTTAATGCAAGCCAAGACAACATTATGTCTGCGGACCATAAATCCAAGTCGACGACACTTGTGTGGATAAGAAAGAAAATTATTATAGTGTTGGATGGATGAATTTTCAGCCCAATCACTATCCCTGTGATGGATTGTAGGGAGAAGAGCAGTTGAACGTATTCTCTTTCAGTAGGTGATGCTGGGCTTATATTTAGGCCTAAAAGATCCTGATTGCACAGCCATAATTTTGAGAATCAGTTATTGATTAATCTCAACAGAAGGATTTGCAATGTAATGCAATGTGTCGTTTATTTTAATCTTTAGTTTACTAGTTTTTCTTATAATTTATTGTGGATTTATTTTAATATTTGAGACAAAAAATTCTTTTGCTACTTTTTACTTTCAGTACTAGAGTACATTAAACTTTTGAGGGGGGGCGCTGGTGGAGCGGTACCGCTTTTGCCTCGCAAGCAAGATGTCACGGGTTCGATTCCTGGGCCGGCGGAAGTTGTTTGGACACTCTTCCTAGTCCTCCTGGTCCCTGTTCACCTAGCAGCAAAATAGGTACCTGCTGTAAATCGAAAGTTGCGAATTCGTATTCAGGGACAAGTTGTTGGAGCTTCCAATAACTTGCTTAGACATAAAAACCACTGACTCTTCAGGCTTCTACGCCCTTGACTCTTCAGGCTTCTATGCCCTTAACTCTTGAGACATAAGGCAAGCATGAACTTAGCACGCTTCCCTGTTGGGCGCTGTAAATGCTTCTGCGCTTCACCTTACACAAGGATGTAGGGGGGGGGGGGAGGGGTGTGCAAAAAAATTAATAAACTTTTGATACTTTTATTCCAACTTGAGTCACATTTTGCCAATGCAACATTACTTTTACTTTAGTAACAAAGGCAAGTACATTATACAACTCAGCTCTAAAGTATGTAACACAATTTGTAATTTACAGCTATCCACATAGAGGGAGACATGACAAAAGAAACACTGTATAGGTACAAGAAAACTACAGATGTACAATCTTCCTTTGGTTAAGTTTTCTTTGTTATTCCAAAAGTTAAATTGAACAATATTATTCAATCTCCTTTCAAAAAAAGTGACAGGACTATACAGTGGTCCCTCGGCTCACGAACACAATTCGTTCCAGAAGGTCGTTCGTTAACCGAAAATTTCGTTAACCGAAACCATTGTTTCAATGGGATTTTGGGTAATTGGTTCCAGCTCACCGAAAATTACATACAAACTAAAAATAAATGCAGTAAAGTACACTTACTTTGAGGTGTGCATGTAGAAGGCTCCTGGTTGATGATGATGATGATGGGAATGAGAAGTGGGGGTGGAAGAGAAGGGAGAAGAGAAGGCAGTGGGGTGGAAGAGAAGTCACCCCACGCTTCATGCTGCCATTTCACCCATAAAATTTTAAGTTCACTAGGTGTAATTCAAGATTATTTTCTTTAAATCAACACTGCACTGCACTATATATTGTCAATATGTAAAATAAATTTCAGAATGACCAATAATTGTACTGTAAAAATGTAAAAATAGTTTATGTTCAAGAGAGTCTCAAGCAAGATGCTTCCTCCACTGAGCAGTGACACAAACTGACGCCATTCTGGGTGAGTCAAGTGGCTGTTTGGAGAGGTAAAAACTAGTTCCCTGTACTTCAATTGCGTTAAAAAAAAATTAAAATGACTAAAAATTTTAATATAAGACTTGGTAAATTATTGAAAAGTACAGATTGTACCTATCTAGTCCGGCAACCTCGGGACCTGACCGGTGCCGGACCATGGAAATTGCCGGACCATGGAAATTCACCCTTTTCCTGTATAGATAGTGACTTGTGCTTATGCCTGGAAGCATTAGCACCACTTTCTCTGCGTCATGGTCTCTTTGAAGACATATTGAAGGGTTAAATGTCGTATAGTAGCTTCCCAAATTTTGCGAGTTTTTAATTCTTAACGTATTTTATTGGAACACACAAAAAATAAATAAATAAACATTTTGACGGCGGAAACTTGAATTTCGACGGGTTTGAACGGCCCGCCAACGTGCAGACGACGTGCATAATCGTGTAAACAGCGTCATTTCTCTTATGTACAAAAGATTCATTATTGTTTATTACTGAATGTCTTTTTTATTGAATTAATGTTTATGTGTGCAAAATGAGCAATACAATTCATTAATAATACGTAGAATATTAAAACACACGAGGAAATGACACAGCATTGTTTTCGTTGATTACAAAACCAGTGACTGACTGGTTCTACATATAAAACTGAAGAAAATAAGACCCAGGTTGTAGCTGTAGTAAAATTAATATGGTTGTTTTAAGTAATGTTATTTAATGTTAATAAATGGAACAATAGAAGTAGCTAACGATAATGGTAAAGAAAAAGAGAGATCGCATATGTAAGTGCGCATGCGCACACGTGAAAACATATCATCATTACTTTACATAAGAATATGAAAGCAACACTTATTACTGTTCATATATATTTTAATTAATGTTTCTGAATTAGTTTTTTTTTAATTAATGTACGTGTGTGCAAAATTAACAATACAATTTATTAATAATACGTAGAATATTAGAGGAGACGAGACGGCTGCCGGCATTGTTTATGTTAAAGCTTACGAAACCAGTGACTGATTGGTTCTGCATATAAAACTGAAGAAAATAAGACCCTGAGTTAAGCTGTAGTAAAATTAATGTAAAAAATTAATATGGTTGCTTGAAGTACCTGTAAAGTTATTTAATGTTAATAAATGGAACAATATAAGTAGCTAACCATCAATGGTAAAAAAAAAAGTGAGACTGCTCGTATGTAAGTGCGCACATGTGAAAATATATCGTCATTACTCTACATAAGAATATGAAAGCAACACTTATTTACTGCTCATATATATTGAAGGGTTAAATGTTGTACTCTGTATAGACAAGCAGAGAGAGAGAGAGAGAGCAGCCGAACTGCCGGATGTAAACAAACCTTAATTTCCCGCGGCTTTTTTTTTTAAGGGGATTAGCCCACCCGGGCATAGGTCACTGACCCACATTGGGGCCTGAGGGGCAAAAATTTAATACTCCTGTAATAATAATAATAATAATAAAAAAAAAAAAAAAAAAAAATGCCTATCTACCTATTGGGCAAACTAAAATCGTTCCGGACCACGGGAGTTTCTGGACCACGGAATGCCGGACTAGAGAGGTACAACCTGTACAACCTTCTTGATATTTACTCAAATGGTAACGAATTTAAGCCCTAAAACCGATTAGTACTGTATTGGCGGACTAATAATACAGCTGGTGAGCAGGCGAAAGCAGGCAAAAACAAGTTGGGAAAATTTTTTAAGGAATTCATTAACCGAATTTTTTTCGTTAACCAAATTGAATATTCTTATTGAAGGTAATTCGTTAACTGAAATTTCATTAACCGAGGTGTTCGTTAACCGAGGGATCACTGTATATGCTAAGCACCATAAAAAGAGGAAAATTTAGGAAGGCTAGACACAAAAAGATGGCCATGAGTTATACAAGACAAGAAACAAATATACTGTACTGATAATGAAAATAAAATTAAACATGTGAAAATCTAAAATGACAAACAAAAAGAAGTATTACTTACTAGAAGATTAATACCTCCATAAGCAGTGTCACCTCGGGGCATATAATAAGGAACATTGGACATGCTTTCCATTCCTCCAGCAACCATCACTTCTTGGGATCCACACATCAAAGATTGAGATGCAATCATTATTGACTTCAATCCTGATGCACACACCTAGAGGAAGAGAGAGAAAAAAAGGGACAAATTAGGTAGTAAATGATTCAGAAGAACTAAATACTCCTTTCTTTTACTGTTTCACTAATCTGACATCGGCATACTCCAACTATTCAGCAGATGTAAGCAAGGAGACCTCAATGGAAATACTGTAGTCTTTTACAATCATGTCACATCTTACGAGCATTCAACTTTATGCACTTGGCTTAGAAAAAAAAAGACAGTCAGTGTAGGAGCATGTGGCTGGGGGAGATAACGGCATATAAGACACACAGCCATATAAGACGCCCCCCCCCCCCCATTTCAGCAGTGAGTATTTCGGAAAAAAAAAAGTATTTTCCTCCTGTAGCCACAGTTTTCTTAAAATAATATTGACATTACCAGTGAATGTGAGGAATAAATAAAAATAATACAGTACCAATAAATAAGTCACGACAAAATATTGTACAGGAATTGCCAAACCAGTAAATAAAAGCCAAATGAAAGTTTAACACAGTCGCCATTTGCATATACTGTACTCCCTGATTCATCAAAGCAACAGAGACCAGCTAGGACACTATCTCCGCCAACTCCCTAGCAATGTTCCCCACTCCTACACTCTGCACCCTCCTCCCACTCCCTCACTGAGCCAGCTAGCTTGTGAGCAATGACATGTATATTCCCTTTATGTGTTTGCTTTTAGGACAATTATTTCTCTTACCTTTTTCACAATACGTATGTACGGTATAGTCTCGATTTACGCAGATTTCCTTTACGCGGTTGGTCATTTACGCAGCACCTGGCCAGACCGGCAATTATTAGTTAAGCGGTACATTCCATCATTTACGCGGGAAGCGGCGCGGGCAGGATGCGCGCTAGGTCGCCCAGTCAACAAAACATTACCGAGTTCTTCACCCGCCACCCACCACAGCCAGCCCAAGTCAGTGATAGTGAGGATATGGACTTTGAGGGGTTTGACAAAGAAGCCCTGCAAGCCTGTGGTGGATAGTGATACAGGTGATACAAGTGAGGGCCAATAATCTGCCCTCAGCCTCGGAACCAACCCCCCATCCCTGTGTATGTTAAAAAACCTAATATTATTGATATTTCTCTTAAATATTAAGTGTGTGCATTCCATCATAAAATTAAGATGTTATTTTTACTACAACGTACGTATTGTGTCGGAAAAAGGGTAGTCTGGCGGTCGGCCCAGTCTCTATTTCAATTACGTAATCCCATATGTTCTGTTATTTCGTTTACGCGTTTCGAGTTATACACGGACCTCCATGGGTTTAATTGACCGCGTAAACCCAGACTATACTGTATTATTATATTATTATTATTATATTATTATTATTATTATATTATTATTATTATTATTATTTTCATTAATACAGTGTTATTATTGTTAGCAAATCTCATCGGAGAAATTCAGCCACCTTTCCTTTTAAACTATGTCCCTCCATTGTTCTTATCACGTATGACTTTATGCATCGTCTGTTGGCATGGAAAACTCGTGATTGGCTAATATTCCTTCACAGTGTTTGTTCCGGGTATGGTGATTGGTCAAGCAAGGAACAAAACAAATATATCTCAACTGCATCTAGTGGTAGTTTACTGAACTAAATTTACTTCCGGTAGCCGTACGAGCCTTTAGTGATTCACCTATTATCAATATCATACGGTCACTGTAACCTCTTGAGATAGAAAGAGAGATACAATCAAAGTTACGGTCAGTTTAGTTGAATCTGGGCCCTACTCTATAGAATATTTGAATAGTAGACTAAATCAAAATACCGTTATGGCAAAATAAAATCCCCCAATATTACGAAAGAAAATTTTTATACAGAAAGAAATTAAAATAAACTTATACTGTACTGTATATGAAATTTTGTCACATATGATATTCTCATTTTGACACATTTTTCACAAATTTTTTGTATAGTTGTATTTTGACACATTCCCCCCCTTGATATTCACTGCTAAGCTAGAGGTGCATCAAATATGGCAGGAAATATGGTACCTGAACATTAGACTCAATATCCTTACCTTGTTGACTGTGGTACATGGGGTCGATTTATCAAGACCTGCAAAAAGTGCTGCTTGACGTGTAGGTGCCTGGCGTGTTCCAGCTGATGCCACATTTCCCATGTACACCTGGAATGATGGTACAGGTACTATACATAGTATATAAGACTAACGACTGTAACTTCATTGGTACAGTACACATCTCCCTGGAAACATTTATTACAAGCAAAATTTGGCTACTGTTACCCAATTTCAGATTAATTTACAATATAATTGAACAAAACAAACATTAGTGGTACATAATAATTCACCTCTTAAGAACAAAAGTAGTTATAATACTCATATAACTGAGTATTCAAGTCAACTGCCAAGAATGGTACAATAAGCTATATAAATAAACTGATTATGATCTCAACAAAAATAATTTGTATTTTGAGATACCCGGTAATACATGTACAGTATACTATACACTGTGATAATAAAAACAAAGAAAATACATACTCCTTATGCTTAGCAAATACGATACAGTATACGGTATGCAATTAGTCAGTTGGGATCATAGGGGTATGAGCAAGGCAGAGGGAAATCCCAATGGGTCAAGTAGCAGGAGAGGTTTTAGTGTAGCTGGGATCTTGTGTTCTCTGCCATGGGCAGGATTACTTTTCAGTACAGTTCTAGAATGACCTTTTGCCTAATGCTCCCATTGATAGTATAACAGTAACACACATATCATTCACCAATATGTCAGGGTTCAAGCCCATCTATAGCATATATAAAGCAATTGAAAGTGTTTTAACCTCTCTTGGTAAGAGAGGTCCTAAGTGCAAACACCAGTTTGGTGGCACCTCCTTTGGATGTTCTCATTTAGCTGGCAGTCTTTAATATATCTTGAGGACCAAGTTAGAATGGCCCTACTAGTTTATTTGTCTGATTTACGTTCTTCTTACAATGATGTGAAAACTTTAGTTCATTGTCAACAAAAACACAGTTCTTTACACATTTGATTTCGGTTAACGGTGCTTTCTCATCCCAATGGGACATGTGATATGCCTCTTCTTCTTGGTATGACCTAGGTGCAACCTCTTGCATTTTGAGAAGTTGAATCTTAACCTCCATTCCTTTGTCCACTCCTGAAACTGATTGAGGTCATCCTTTAACTCTCCACTGTCCCTTCAGCACCAAATTTCTCTGAATAGCTTAGCATCTTCTGCAAACATTTGCATAGAAGATCACTAGGATTATGCAGTTCAGTTCTGGTCACCGTACTACAAATCGGATATAGAATCCCGAGAAAGAATTCAGAGGAGAATGACAAGACTAATCCTGGGCATTAGAAACCTTGAGTACAGAGACAGGTTAAAGCATCTTAATCTGCACTCCCTCGAGAGACGTAGAGTGAGGGGCGATATGATCGAGGTGTATAAATGGAAGACAAGGCTAAACAAAGGTGATTTAACAAAGGTACTCAAACTATCCAGCCAAGAGCGAACTCGTAGCAATGGTTTTAAATTAGACAAATTTAGATTAGGCGCGTGATAGGAAAACACTGGTTTGGAAATAATGATGATGAGTGGAACAAGTTACCAAACATCATCATTAACTCGAATACGCTGGATAGCTTCAAATATAGGTTGGACGGATATATGAGCAATAGGGGTTGAAAGTAAACGGGACTGCCAAGTATGGACCAATAGGCCCGCTGCAGTTTCCTCCATTCTTGTGTTTTTGTGGTATTGAATTTAACCATGCATTCCTAAGATTATTGAATAAAGTGGGACTAAGTACCCCACCTTCGGGAGTCCCAAGTTGCGTATCTTTAGTTTCACTTTTGTAACCCTAAAACAGTGCAGCAGCCTCTCTGTTAGTGATGTAACCATTTATCCAGTGTAACAGCCGACCTCCTATATCCATTTTGGCTTGTTTATGCAATATAAGTTGCCTATTGGCAATATCAAATGCAGTTTTTAGGTCAAGAAATGTGGTGTGTCCGTGTCGTTCATCATCATGTACAGACACGGACTCTTTCACACTGAACACCCAGCCAGACGACCAGAGAGGTAGAATCAGCTGACGATCTGCTAACTGTGTGTGTGTGCAGGGGGTGGGAGGGAGAGGGGTAGGGGAGGGGGAAAGATGGGAGCAGTACTTGAGTTCCGTGTTGTATAATATAATCATATGTTATTTTGCACACAAAAGAGTGATGGAAGTGGAAGAGGTGATTATGGTATACCCGTTAACGTTACCGCCTCCAACGCCGTGCGACGCAAAGGGCCTCCACATACTCACGCCAGCCATTTCAATCTTGAGCCCTTTCTATGGTTGTATTTAACTCATCCTCCGTCTACCTTCTTATAGTTCAGATCCATGTAGGCCTTGGTCTACCTCCTCTTCTCGTTCCGTCCACTCTCCACTCGACCGCCTCTCTCATTATTCTATCCGGACGCACACGCAGAACGTGCCCCAGCCACTTCCATCTATTCTTCATCAGCCATTCATCAATATTGGGAACATTTGTGACTTCTCTTAATGTCGCGTTTCTAATACGATCACGCCATCTTATGTTCAAGATTCTTCTCAATGCCTTATTCTTGAAAGTTCGGAATCTTCTGGATAAAGTGTCATTATCATACCAAGATTCACTTCCATATACCAAAACCGGTCTTGCCTGTGAAGTATATAATCTCAGTAAGGTTTGGACTGTTAGTCTATGTGACTTCCAGACTTTGCCCAGTATACCCATAACTTGATGGCCTCTTCTTATTCTGTCCTGAAACTCATCTTCAAGTGATCCATCGTTTCTGACGAGTGTCCCTGGATACTTGAAAACAGAAACTTCTTCCTTAATTTGGTCCTCCACCTGAATGTTCCCTTCAATTTCTTGGTCTGTTTTCATAACCTCTGTTTTTCTAACATTAATCGTTAATCCAGCTCCTCTTCCCTTTTCCTCCAGTCTGCTAACCATAGTTTGCAAATTCTGAATGGATCTGCTCATCAGTACTACATCGTCTGTATAGGAATACGTATTTACAGTAGCATTACGTTGTTTGATTTATTGGGGTGCAATTGGTTATCTCTAATCTAAGGCTCCAAAGCCAGAGAAACACGTAACCTTTACCTCCCCGCACTACTGCTACCCTTCCTCGGGGAAGGACAGTATGAGAAAACAGGTGCCACTCAATGATTGATGTCGACCAATTACTTAGTTATAATTATTTGCCAAATCCGACATATATCTTAAATCATTTTTGGGTGATTCAACTGCTCTTATATGCACAATATATTCCATTAAAAGCATTAGTAGCATATAATGAAACCATATGCTGTCATAAGTCACGTTTCGACCTAGCCTCGCACCGGGTAAATCAAAATGACCTCTTTACACTTACTGTTTTATTATGGTCATTCTAGTGGTACAGTGCTACGAAAGCTACTGACAAGTAGTTGCCAATGACGTGTAGGTGCATTACCTTATGGCACTGGGCCATTTGTAGTGCACACACACACACCTTATCCTTCATTTTCACAAGTAATGAAATTATTAGACATATGACAAAAAAACAAAAGAAGTGTTTAAAGATATAAATACATCCGCCCCTGAATGGAATACAATACAAAACAGTGAAAACAATGATAATTTGCTTGTTAATCACGTAACAAGTGTCGACAGTCAATCAAAACTCATTCGAGGCATTGTCGCGACCCTAGAAATCATAAGCTCCTCAACAGCTGATCTTTTAATTCGCCTCCATGCTGTCACACAACAAGACCCTCACTGGATGCTTGTTGTCTTAATTCCCGTGTGTGTGTGTGTGTGTGTGTGTGTGTGTGTGTGTGTGTTTTGAGCTTGCTAAGCACATTGTAGGATTAAAAGAAGTTGATGAAGAGTTTGTTCAGGAGTCAGGTGGTGAGGTGACATGCCAAGACACTTACACAGCACACACATTAACAGCACTACTAAACAATTGTCTTATAACATTTTACATTATAATTTATATTTTAAAATTAATAGATACATGATGGCTCAACAGGGCTACTTTTGCACTTAGACAAATGATCAATGAATAAACCAGGACATATGGAGACTCGTTATACACTAGTGATGTCACAAAGCTTTGAAACTGCAACCACATAAATTATCACAACCTGTACTCAAATGTACTAAGTTAATTACTAAAATTATTGTTTGGTGAAAAATAATGGATGTTTATACACAAATTAATCGCTATCTTACAAGAATTTCAGCGATGCAAGTTATATTCTCTTAAGTGAAGTCAGTGATATTCTATAATCCAAAAATTATAAACCCCTCAGCCTGGAGTATGCATTAATATTCCCTCCTCCTGGCTGTCAACAACACACCTCCCAGCTGAAGGGAGAAAGGTCTATGGGGGGTAAAAGTGACCTCAACACCCTCCCCTCAAACAGCTAATTCTCTTGTGTGTGTGTGTGTGGTTATGGAGGTGTGTGTGTGGTTGTGTAGGTGTGTGTGTGTGTGGTTGCGGAGGTGTGTGGTTGTGGACGATGTGGCTGTGTGGTTGTGGAGGTGTGTGGTTGTGGAGGTGTGGGTGTGGTTGTGTATGTGTGTGTGTGTGTGTGGTTATGGAGGTGTGTGTGTGTGGTTGTGGAGGCATGTGTGTGGTTGGAGGGTGTGTGTGGTTGTGGAGGTGTGTGTGTGGTTGCGGAGGGTGTGGTTGTGGAGGTGTGTGTGGTGTGGAGGTGTGTGTGTGGTTGCGGAGGTGTGTGGTTGTGGAGGGTGTGTGTGTGGTTCGCGGAGGTGTGTGTGGTTGTGGAGGTGTGGGGTGTGTAGTAGTGGAGGTGTGTGGTTGTGGGTGTGTGTGTGTGTGGTTATGGGTGTGGGTGTGTGTGTGGTTGTGTGTGTGTGTGTGTGTGTGTGTGGTTGTGGAGGTGTGGGTGTGTGGTTGTGGAGGTGTGGGTGTGTGTGGTTGTGGGTGCGTGGGTGTGTGGTTGTGGAGGTGTGGGTGTGTGGTTGTGGAGGTGTGGGGTGTGTGGTTGTGTGGGTGTGTGGTTGTGGAGGTGTGTGGTTGTGGAGGTGTGTGTGTGGTTGTGGAGGTGTGTGTGTGTGGTTGTGGAGGTGTGTGTGTGTGTGGTTGTGGAGTGTGTGTGTGGTT